GGGTCTCACTGTTATTTCCATTCGTTGAAGGAAGAAACTGAAGCACACAGACATTGAGAGATGCATCCCAAATCATGTGACTAAGAAGCAAGAGAGTCCGAAGTTGAACCGAAGCTGTCTGGTTCCAAAGCCACAGGAGATGTTAGGGGGAAGACCAGATTGTAGGGACCACTCAGGTCCAGATCAAGATGTGTTGCACGAGGACTGAAATAGTAGAGATGGTAAGAAGCGACCAGGTTCAAGATGGATGAGAAAAGTCAACTGGACAGGGCTGGCTGATAGTTGCATTTGGGGTAAGAGAGGATAGAGGTCAAATATGGAGCGAGAGCTGGTGGGAAAATCAAGGGTTCGGCTTGGGTTGTGTGGTTATGTTCATCTGGAACGTGGGAAATACCTGGCTACATTCTGGTGGCCTGTGGGGATGGAGCCCACTTGTTCAAAGGGTGAGATTTCACTCTTTACAAATATCCTGCTCAAATTCATGGAGACAGAAAGTAAAACAGTGGTTTCCAGGGGCTGGGGGGAGGGGCTGCGGGGAGTTGGTTTAATGACTGCGACGTTTCAGTTTGGGAAAATAGACGTTCTAGAGAGGGAGGGTGGTGAGGGTGGCAGAACAGTGCGAATGGACTTCATGTCCCGGAATTTAAATGGCTTAAAGGGTCAATTTTACATTGCGTATTTTTAATCACAATGAAAACAAAATAACCTGGAGTTTTGGATTCTCTTGAAAAGTTGGAGGGACGCTTGGGTGGCTCAGTCGGTTAAGCTGTCCAACTCCTGATTCCAGCTCAGGTCATGATCTCAGGGTCATGATCTCAGGGTCGTGAGATCGAGCCCACATTGGGTTCCGCACTCAGCTCAGAGTCTGCTCGAGTTTCTCTCTCCCTCTGCCCCTCCCCCTGCTCTCTCTCTCTCTCTCTCTCAAAATAAATAAATAAATATTTTTTAAAAGAAAAAAGAAAAGTTGGAAGATCTGGCAAGTCCTCCAGACCCCACTCCCCAGTTTGGCTTCTCAGCTCCCCAGCAGGCCTTGTCCAGCTTTGCCGAGAACATTCCTCTTTCTGATGATTCCCTTTGCCCCCTCCAGGGCCCAGGTAGGGTTGGCGCCAGGAGTCAGGTCCCGCCAGCCAAGAAAGACAGCCGGGCTGGCGCATCGCCCTGCTAGTCCCGCACTAATGATGATGATTGGTGTTGCCCAGTGATTAGCCAGCTGTGCAGCCAGCATTAAACAGTCATTTATCAAAGCCCGAAACTCCTTCTTCGATGGAAAAGCACGGCCCTCACCCTGCACTCGGGCAGGCGGAGGCCACTCTTGTCGCCCTCTTCAGCGTGGAGGCCAGGGTTCTGGCCTGCTTGGCCCCCGCCGCATGCAGGGAAGGGCGAGCGCGAGGCCACGGTCACGACCAGGGGACAAGTCCGCACAGCGCAGGCATGAACAAATTACCACAAAGTGCCTTAAAACAGCACCCCACCCCTCCCAGCTCTGGAGGCTGCAAGTCGGAAAGGCAGGTGGCCGCAGGGCCGAGCTCCCTCCTGGGGCTTCAGGGGAGGACTCTGGATGCCTCTTCCAGCTCCCGCCGCTCGTCGCCCCTTGGCTCGTGGCCTTGTCCCTCCGAGCTTTGCTTCCGTGTGCACACGGCCCTGTGTCTGGTGTGGTCCTCTCTCCTTCCCACTGGCCTCAGGGCCCACCGTGGTGCCGGATGACCTCATCTTGGGGTCCTTACCTGAATCACATCTGCAAAGACTCTTATTCCAAAAAAGTTCGCAAGAGGGCGCCTGGGTGGCTCAGCGGTTAAGTGTCTGCCTTTGGCTCAGGTCATAATCCCCGGGTGCAAGGATCGAGTCCCACGTCCGCTCCCCACTCAGCGGGAGGCCTGCTTCTCCCTTTCCTGCTCCCCCTGCTTGTGTTCCTTCTCTGACTTTATCTCTCTCTGTCAAATAAATAAAATCTTAAAAAAAAACAAAAACAAAACAAAAAAGGTCGCATGCTGGGGTTCCAGATAGACAAAACTTCTGGGGGTATACAAATCAACCCATACCTCCTGTAACCTCAGACCTTGATCCTGCAGGCCACTGGTCCCCTGGAATACGTCACCTCAGCCCTCCCAGGTCTCCAGCTCCTCTCGGGGCTTGTGCAGTCTGGGGCCTGAGGTATGGGGTATGGGGTAAGGGGGGAGCATCTGGTCCTCAGCCCTCAGTCAACCCAGAAAATGGCCCTTGTCGGTACAGGGCTCCCAGAGTCACCATGCCAGAGGGGGCCATGCTTCCTGGAGCGCCATGTCACACACCGTCAGGGGCACCAGCCCCCTGGTCAGGGGCTGCCTCGGAGGGCAGGTGGCTTAGGTTCAAGTCCCACTTGTGCACTTCCTAGCTGTGCCACTTTGGGTACTTACATAACCTCTCTGCACATAGTTTCCTCACCTAAAAAATAGGAAAAATAGTAGTACCTACCTCATAGAATGTTCGTAAGCATTGAGTGCACTTCTGTATGTCTGGCCCAGAGCAGGTGCCCTGTGTGT